CTTCTTCCTCAGTTCGTCCGTCTCCCTCTCTTCCACCCTCCTGGTTCCCCTCCTTCCTCCCCCATCGTTTTCCTACTCCATCTTCTTGTCCTCCTCGCCTCTCGATCTGTACCGTGTTGCTGCCTTGACAATCGTCTTTGATCCGCGGCTAGCGGTAGATTGGCGACATTCGGAACGCAACAGGTAGGCTTGGAATATGCAGGCTCGGTGGGGACTTCTGGCCATCTTGTCTACGATGGTTTTGCCGTGCTGTAGGCGATGCCTACGTTTAATATTTAAGAACACGCGGTTGCCTGGAGAGGTGGTCGCGTTATCATGGTACGAGGAGCTTGCATTTTGTCGAGGCGATCGGCATTCCAGCGCAGTCTTCCCTGGCGGCTGTTTGCCCAGCGGAGCCAGGCCCTTCCGCTGGCGCTGCTAGCAGCAGTACTGGACCCCTTTTTATATACTTCTCTCTAGCTCCCCCAGCATTCCTTACCCGTCCTGGCGGGTCTCTGGCTTTAGGGAGCTCCCAGGAAGTTTACGGACCACGCACTTGTAACCCAGGGTTAGGGTCGTTTTTGCATCTTTCAAAAATGCGCACTCTCGCCTCCTGCTCCCCCATCGCCATTGAGTCGCCCCCCATCGTCACTCGTCTGCGCCCCCCTCTCCTCAAGCGGTGGCTTCGCCCAACACGATGAGCCACGGACTGGGCCGCTGGCTGGCTCCGCCAGCCCCGACAGTTGTTGCAGAACTTGTCGTCGTCGCCGTCGCCGTCGCCGTCGTCGCCGTCGCCGTCGTCGTCGTCTCCTTCCTCCTCCCTCCTCCCTCCCTTCTCCCTCCGCTCTCCTCCCTCATCCCTCCTCCCTCCGCCCTCCTCCCTCCCTTCTTCTTCGAGAACGGTTGCACATACAGGCATGCGTGTATACGTGGACTTTCCTTGGGCTTCAGGGGAGGGCGCGGCGTATAGACCACAACTGGGAGCGAACGATGTTACACACAGCCGCACTCCCTGAAGGCACAGGGAAACCGCACCCGCGGGCGCAGGTGTAGCTAGTGTACCTTTTGTGGCATGGGCTCGCGGCGAGGGCGCCGCCATGTCGCGGGGAATATCTGGGGCTGTTGTCGCCGCCCTTTGACCCCCAGTTGCCTGGAATCATCACGGCGTAAGGTCATGTTCGCCCCTCTCGGATGGCCTGGAGGCTTCACGTCGCCACGACTGGATGCGCCTCGAGATCCTTGCCAGAACACGCGCGGTGGCAGGTCTGGAGGTCGTTGTTTGACCACCGAGCTCGGACCCTCTCTCGCGTCGTGGAAGGAATCACGGCGGATGGGTTTTGGCCGTTTTTGGTGTCTGGAATCATTCATCTGTTATACATTACGCTGGGGGCGTTCGTTAAGGAATGTGCCCACGAGGCGTCAGATCCTCGAGGATTCCTTCCTTGTCTGATGAAGGCGGCGGTGATATCCATAGCCAATCCACGGTTGGAGTTCCACCTGCTTCCAGACCCTGGCTTCTTTATCCGATGGTTCCTCATTCATCGCCGTTACCGTATTGAAGGGTTTGGGCTTTGGGGATGTCCTTGGAAGGAGCCGTAGCCGGGTTGGGGTGGTTTTATGGCCTCTGGGAAGCATATATTGAAGGACAAACCATCCGGGCTAGCCTGAATCATCTTGGAGGCCATCTTGAGTTCTCCGACGTCCTCTTGGAGCCGTCTTAGGCCAGTTTCCCAGACCCCATCGGGCAATGAACAAATCATGACGGGAGATTTTATGCGAACTTCGACCCCCAGGGGCCCTTACCCGCCTTCGAGACCATCCAGAAACGACTCAGGATGAAAAACCAGTCCAGGGGAATGGGCCGAGACCTCCAGGGGTCAACGTAGCGAAAAAATCATGACGCCGAGAGTCTGGGTTGGACGCTCTAATCCCTCGCGGGCCCCCCCTTCCAGATCAAGGACGGGAGCAGGGGTAAACCCCTCCCCGACTGGGGAGAAGGCAGAGCAGCCTCCCCAAACACACCTAAGCCCCGAGGGCTGGTGGGCTGTTCGGCCTCGGGAGGTCCGGGTCGGCCCCCAGGACCTTCAACGAAAGTACCTGTGACGGGAAAGCCGTCCTCGGGCGGGGCTTCGACGAGGATAGATCCTTTCCGGAGCGTTCCGGGGCGCTTTCAGAGCCTTCCGGAACGCTCTCAGAAGGCCGCGGCGCCCGATACATCTTCCAGAGCCGCCGGATCTCAGGGATTATCGCTTCATCCATCCTCGGCCGATGTCGTCTCTTCTTCGCCCCCTCAGGATCCCCGATACCGCGATTTTTTCGCAACGTCGACCCAGGTCTGGACCCCTTCCTCGGGACTGGCTTTCCATCCCGAGTCGTGCCTTGGCGGTCCTGCAGAGGCCCGGTAGGGGCCCGGGCCCCAGAGGCCGGAAGTGGTGAAAAGCCTCCCGTCGTGTTGTCTTCACAGCGCGAGCTTCGTCCTGGCTTCGTCTTACGTCCCTGGGCGTGGGGTCGGGAACGTCGGGGGCCTGCGTCGTGAAAAAGTGTCGTCGTCTTACAGTGCCGGAGGCTTAGGGCCGTGAGCTCGACATCGGCGGTATGGCGTTCTCGTCGCCGTCGGCGTCGTCGTCAGCATCTTGGCCGCCGTCGTCCTTCGCCGGCGGTTTTTCTCCCCCAGCCCCCGACTTTTCGACGAAAACCGCAGCCGCTCAGAAAAGGAAGGAAACCCTGGGATAACCCCAAAGAGGGCTGTTCGGACGCACTCCTATCGAGCATGGACGCCCCCCATCATACATCCCAGGGTTTGGCCCCAGATTGTTGGTCCATTCGAAAACCCCACGAAGCCTGCGATATGGGTCGACATATCCCTTTTTAGTCCTTGCCGTCGTTCTGATCAAGTCTCCAGAGTTCTTCGCTCTTTGAGGGGCGTCCCGCGGGTCCCTCGTCGACAGGGCTTGATCCGCCCCGAAGTCCTGGTCACAACGCGCTGCGGGACAGGTCTGTAGGTCCACCCTGGGGCAGCGCCAACGTCGTCGGTGCCATCGCCGCTGCAGTCGTCATCGTTGCCGCCGCCGTCGATCTATAATTAAGTCGGGCGTGTCCCTCTACAGGGGGAAAGTGTCAAAACGTTTACATAGTCTGGGGACCATTGACAAACAATATTTTTTTGAACTTCTTGGGGTCTTCTTTGACAATGTTTTCATCCAAAATCCGCTTGTAGGAGGACATGCCCGACCTAAGTGTAGCTTGACGGGGCTACAACCAGGATGAATCGTTCCAGAGCGCTCCGGAACGCTCTGCGCTCTCTCGAGTGGCCGCGGCGCCCGATGCATCCTCCAGGACCGCCGGTATGCAGGGAGAGATGGGGGTCCTCACATCCCAGACCCCCTCGGGCAATGAAGAAGTCATGACGGGAAGTTCTTTGCTATTTTCGGCCTTTGGGGGCCCTTTATGGCCGTCGAGACCGTCAACAACAACGACTCAGGATGGAAAACCGGTCCAGGGGAATGGGTCGAGACCTCCAGGGGTCGACGAAATGAGAAAATCATGACGTCGGGGGTCTGGGATCTCGTATTGCCCCCATACGATCCGATGTGATGCGGTTCGGGTCGCCGGTTGGGCCCGCTATGCCGACTCGATTCGATTCCCCAGCGTCGGCCGAGGCCAGCCAGAGTTGGGGCCAGCAGAGGCATCGATCATCCGTTTGCAGGGTATGGCGTGTAGCCGGGGCCGCCTGCGCCACAAGCGAAGCACGAGTTTCCCCTTGAGATCCGACGCAGAAGAACAGCTACACCATCGCAAAGCAAACAAGACGACCGGAGCGCCAGACACCGTGTTTCTTTGGGCGTTCGGCACTGGGGGGCGATAGTTGGGAGGGCGTCGAGGGTTGCACGCAAGGGGCCCTCAAGGGCCCTGAACGAGCCCCCCAGGGCCCCGAAGGTGCACGAAAGGTGCACGAAACGTTCACCTTTCTTACCCGCGATTAAGGATGCCCGATTCCTTTCCATATTTTGAGCTGGATCGATTCCTGATCAGACTTGACTACTGATGCCCGATTCTGGATTCGGTGCGTCGCCCCCCCTCCATTTCATGATTGCCCGATTTCTGTTTCCCAGTTTGAGCCGGATCGATCTGTGATGGCCCCAGGGCCAGAACACCGGGCGAGAGCGCCCAGCGGGAAGCAGCATGGCAGCGCTCGGCTCCGAGGTCCGACCCTACTGGGGGCTTGACGTCTTGGGGTTCCGGGGCGGGCTGTGTCGTGAGTGCCCTGACCTCCCGGGAGGGCTAAAGCATATCGCTAGGGCATCGACGTCCTAATGCCTGTCGAGGTCTGAGGCAGTCCAGATAGATCTGTAGGTCTGGAGTGCTATTTTGCAGCACTCTGGAAGGTCAGAGTGGTTTGCCGCTCCCTGGGCTTGGCGGTAGCCGAAGGCGATCCGATCTTTTCCCGAGCCGACGCGGCTTTCGCGATTCGATACAGCTGTGGCTTGTCTCGCGCTCGGAAAGCTGGCTGCGCAGGACGTGCTCTGCGTCTCGCCGAAGCAAGGGCAACCAGGAACACGAGCGGTCCGGCGGGAGGCCTGCTTACTGACTGACTCCTCTTGTGTTGATTTCGCCGGTGGCATCCGTCTGCACGCTGTCGTAATTGTGGCCGTGGTGGAGGGAGAACAGCGAGTCGGTGGTTCAGAGATGGGGTCCTGAGGAATGGGGTCCTCAGAATGAGCTGGCTCAGACAGCGTGAATTCACTCTTGGATCCCTTCCTATCCTTACTTTGGGTTTCATAATAAGCGTGGGTGGGGGGTACCCCCCTGACGGGGTTCAACCTCGCCTCGTCGTTGTGCCGCAACCAGGGTCGGAGCGCCTTCGGCGCGGCGTGGCTGGCCGCGACGGGGGTCGATGTGGGGCTGCCGGCGGGGTGCCGCCCCCCCGACGCTTATCAAGAAACTCTGAGTAAATTCACTCTCGGATCCCGTCCTATCCTCAGGCCTCCATCCCTTCAGGGCCCCATGTCTGAACCATCCAGCGACATGCTCTGCCCCCCCTCCCCCCGCGGGGATTCAGCGGCGGGCACCCCCAGGCTGCGCTCCGGGGCGCCCGCGCGCTGGTCCTGGCCGTGCGCCGCGAGTGGCTCACAGGCCCGCGGGCCCGCCCCCCCCCTGGCGCCGAAGGGCCACTGTTGCGGGGGCCTTCGGGCGTCGCCTTCGCCTTCGCCGCCGCCGCCGCCGCCGTCCCCATCGCCGTCGCCGTCGCCGTCGCCGTCGCCGTCGCCGTCGCCGTTGCTGTTGCCGTCGCCGTCGCCGTCGTCGTCGTCGTCGTCGCCGTTGTCGTCGTCGACGTTTGGGCCGTCGGCGCAATTGTCGTGACCGTCGGGTTTGGATCCTGAGAAGCTGGCGTCGCAAGAGAGTGTTTTGTCATTCCTTGGCGATCACCCGTGACCGGGAGTTGGGAGAGGGGGCGCGTCCGAGAAGGCCCAGGAATAACCAAAAACAGGGCGGATAGCAGATACGATCTGCTATGGCAGAGAGTGCGTCAGGCGATGGAAATATAACAACTTGCGATGGGTAGCCGTGGACAGCTAAGCACAACGCAGGTGTTCGCAACCATCGTTTTTCATCGAATCATGTACAACGACGACGATGGGTCAGGATCGGCGAGGAGGAGGAGGTGGGATGAGAGAGGAACATGAAGAGGCAGAGGAGGAGGACAGAGGGAGAAGGAGAGGAGTGTCCAATCCATATACCATTATCAAGAAATTCCCTGCGTTGGAACTTGCTATCCATAGCTATCCGTCCATCGCGAGATAATTCGTTTCAGTCGCATCTGTGCGCTTGTCTTGCACATTCTCAGAGAGAGCGCCGGCGCGAATCGGGACGTGACCAGGAGGAGGGCGGGGGCGCGGCGGGGACAGTCACGAACGCGGTCGCGAATGCTGGAAAAATCTTGCGATCTCGCCCCGTCCCCCGCCCCAGGGCCACCACATGTCGATGCGGCCCGAAAGATGCCGCACAGACAATTGCGTTCTGGGACCTGCGGTCGTGGGTTTTGCCTGCGGTGTTGCACTGTCTTTGCGTCGTCGGATCTCAGCGGCCGTCGCGGCCGTCGCCTTCGATCGGTCGACGACCGACGGCGACGGCCGTGACGAGGTATCATCAGGAGGGGAAAGAACACACAGACACAATTCATCGGCGATTCCCAGAACATATGGGAAAATATGGGAAGTGGGGGGGAAGACAAAAACCCAGAAAATATGGGAAAATATGGGGGATATCTTTATTTGTGTATATTTATTTGTGTGTCCCAGGGCCCCTTCATATCAGCCGTGGCCGCTGCCGTCGGCAGCGACGGAGACGGGAGACGGCGGCGAAGACGACGGCCTCACCGCCGCCGAGGTGGATCTGTCGTCATGGTCGTCGCCGTCGGTCGTCGCTCAATCGAGGTCTGCGGTGTCTGGGCGACTGGGTCCCTGTGGACCTCCTCAGCATCTCCTGAGGGCTCTCTCTGTGGGGCGTTTTCGGGGGCCTCTCGGGAAGGTCGTCGTCGTCGCTGCCGCCGCCCACTTTGACACCACTTACCCCGTCGTCACCAGCCAGTCGCAGCAAGCTCCGGCTTCGCCCTGGACGCGCGTCTCCTGTAATGAGGATTCCAAGGTGTTTGGCGCGCGCACTTGCCCGTGCGTTCTGGGGGTGACGGTGGGTGCCAGGGTGTGGCAGAAGGAACATGTGTACGTGTAGCATTGTTTCACGACGTCGCTGTTTAGCTTTCGTTGACTGGCTTATACGAACGAAGTAGTCGAGAGTGTCGGTTGCCATTTTCGTTCGTCGATATCTTCCTGGCTACCGCGGTGTTGTTTTAGGCGTCACGGCCTCGATGCCCCAGCGCCGCGCTACATCGCGAGGGCGTTGGGCATCGATGTTTTTGATACATAAAATGATGTTGAGCATTCTATTGCGACGCCACCCTTGAATTGTACCAGCGGCACCCGTGGGTTTTGCCGTTGCGCGTGTAAGTATAAACGGGTCAGGAATTCGGGTCAGCTCGTATGTTGAACATGTCCTGCAATTTGTGCTCAACAGTTCGCGGATGGATTATGTGCATTCGTTTTTGTTGATTGGGGCCCAGTGTCTTCCCATAGATACGTGTATATATACATATACATGTATAGTTAATTTGTACCTGGGTTGTTCGTTTTATGTGTTATCTGCAGTGCTCGGACCCGCATGGATGGCGGCACTTTACGAATCAGGCCCTCGTCTCGGGATCCGTTCAAAAGTTCTCGCCCAGGAAGTGAAGCACAATCATGAGCTCGTTTCCGCAGGGCGCTCCCCTGTCAGCCACGCGCTCCAGCCTTACTTGTCGATTACCCCTTTCCAGCAGTTTGACCAATGAGACACTGGACGACTTGTTCTGTTCCGATTGCTCCCTGCCGGGGACATTGTTCCAAAATTCGGCTTTGCAGGGTTTCTTACAAGACACCGCTGGGTGCGGGGCCCTTCCTGTCCAGCGTTGCTCGGACTCACTCGGGGGTTACCTGACGTGACGTATGGATGCCCAGGCGGCCGACGGCGTTGCTCGGGGTTGCTTTGGGCCAAGGAATGCGCAGCAGCGCCTAGCAATGCCAAGCAATACAAAGCAACGCCAACCAATGCCAAGCAAAGCCAAGCCACTGCAGGCAGCGACAAGCAATGCCAAGCACCGGTGCCAAGCAAAACAAAGCCCACCCCAAGCAATGCCAGTGAATGCCAAGCAGCACCAAGCAATGCTAAGCAACGCCAAACAATAACAAGCAATGCAACGTAATGCCAAGCCAAACCACGCAGTGCAAAACAGATCCAAGCATTGTCCCGTAGCACCAAGCATTTGTTGTTTGTATTGAATTGCCTTGCATTTGTCAGAACTGCTATGACTTGCCCCTGAAGGAACAAGCCCCCTAATCACGGTCGCGCCGGGTTCGTTGTCATCCGCATTTTTGTTTGCCCGTCCCAGGGCCCACAAACGGGAATGGTTCCCAGACGCCAGATCAAGAGAATCCAGTCGGTCGCGGCTTCTCCGCATTGCCAGAGGTCTGGGGAGGTCTCTGGACAGAGGTCCCTCAGGTCCCCCGCAGTCCTCCAGGTGCTCCCGTATGCGGAAAGCGAGGCCAGCGAGCGTCCAAGCACCTGGCTCATGCCCCCCCCGGAGGGGGAGGAGGGGGAGGGGGAGGAGGAGGAGGGGGAGGATGAGGAGGAGGAGGAGGAGGAAGGAGGGGGGGGGAGGAGGAGGCGGAGGAGGAGGAGGGGGAGGAGGAGGGGGGGAGGAGGAGGGGGGAGGAGGAGGAGGAGGGAGGGGGAGGAGGAGTCTTCCTCCCAGGACTCTCCTTCGTGGCCCAAGGCTGCCGCGAGCTGCCTTTTTCGAAGGGAGGGACCACACGGCACGGGCCCGGCGAGGCCCGCCCCTGCCCTGCCGTGGCATGGGGGCGACTGCCAGGGGAGGAGGAGGAGGAGGATGAGGAGGAGGAGGAGGAGGAGGAGGAGGAGGAGGTGGAGGAGGAGGAGGAGGGGGAGGAGGAGGAGGGGGAGGAGGAGGAGGAGGACGAGGAGGAGGAGGAAGAGGGGGAGGAGGCGGAGGACGAGGAGGAGGAGGATGAGGAGGAGGATGAGGAGGAGGAGGAGGACGAGGAGGAGGCGGAGGACGAGGAGGAGGATGAGGAGGAGGATGAGGAGGTGGAGGAGGACGAGGAGGAGGCGGAGGAGCAGCAGGCGGAGGAGGAGGAGGAGGAGGAGGAGGAGGAGGTTGCGCACGTGCCCCAGTAGACTTTTTCAATCATTTCTCGCATTGACTGGCGTGTCAGGGGGGGGAGGGGGAAGGGGAGGGGGCCAGTCACGTCACGGTTCGCGCCAGCGCCGTTTGGCAATGTTGAGGGATGGCGAATTCCCAAACTGCGCCGGTGCGAATCGCGCCGTGACAAGGGGGAGAGGAGGAAAGGGAGGGTGGTTCTTTACTCCCGGGCGATAACGGGCGTTACCAGGGGAGGGGCGGGGGAGGGGGCGTAGGGCTGGTAACGTCACGTTCGTTCCGTGCCGGCGCCGTCTGGGAATTGGAGGTCACGTCAGCACGGATAGTGGCATTACCTGGGGGTGGTGGGAGGGGGGGGAGGCGGCAAGGGCCGGTAACGGCCGTTACGGCGAACAATGGAAAACGTTTTCGGAGGGCGGGGCCAGTCATGGGCGCGGTGCGAATTTTAGAAGCGTTGGCCCGAGGAAGGGATGAAGGGAGCGGCATGCTGTCGAACAACAAGAACACGACTCGATCGTAACCTGTCGGGTCGATGCTGGGGCCCACTGCCCACACCCGCGGGCGGAGGAAGGGCTCGTGGGGCGGGGGGCGCGCATTGCCTTCGCTGAGCGGCGATCAGGCTCGCTCCCGGGAGCATGTGGAAACCCGCTCGTGCCTTGTTGATTTTCGACCGGCTGAGCTTGTTCTGGAGCCACCTTAGTCTGAGGATTGATCTTGGTCTGTGCAGATACCTTGGGCAGTGCTAGATGATCATCCAGCTGGTTTGTTCAGTGAACCGCAGACATGAATAGCCCGAGTTGGGGGTTTCTCCATCGGCACTGCCATCCGCCGCTAATATTCCTTCCAGACAAGAAGTTACGATCTCCCCCCAGGTCACCTGTTTGGGATAGTACTGCTGACATATGATCCTGCCTCGTAGATCACTGATTCTTTAAAATGAGCTCAGACCATCCTAGCCAGACCCTTATCACCCCCCTCGGCCCTGTCAAGCAAATGCATTGCGAGCGCGCTCTTTCATCAAACTTCACGCATGCTCAAACATCAAACGGGAAAGACTTGACAAAGCTCACGCGTGTGAAGCGTCGCGCGCGCATGCCGACATCCTTCAAAAACCCACAGTTGTCCACGGATTTCAAGATCGATGTTCCCGAATACATGTGAAACAATTGTGGTTTCTAATGTTTTACTAATAGATGTGTTTCTGCTTCGAAGGCTTTTGAATCCCATTTTGTTTTTTTCCACAGGACCGTCACGTGAGACTATCGGAGCCTTTGGCGCGCGCGTGCCGAAACCATTCGAACGCCTTTGCGCGCTTGCTGGGTGGGGGGCGCGATCCCCATCCAACAATACCATGTTGGCCAGT